AATGTGTGAAGAACACTCGGCCAGTAGTTACATTGTACTGGATGAAGTCTGGCGCAAACTGCCAGACTCAGGCATGTCTAGTACTAGAGAGATACAGCCAATTGTATGGTGGCCGGTGAGATTTCACTTAGGTGACTATTATGACTTTATTTTAGAGACAGGGTCTCAATTATATTGCAGGATGGCTTACAACTGGTATTTATCTCACGCTGGCCTCCGATTCACCTTTCTCCGGCCTCTGCCTCCTCCTGCCTCTGCCTCCCAAGAGCTAGGATTACTGGTATGAATCATCACCCTCTGCTATGTGTTCATTATTCAGTGGACCTGAGAGGTGCATGTGCCCAAGACCCAGGCTGAGGGCCAATCCTGATGAAGCTCCAAATGAACCTGCCACCGTGCCCCGCTGCTCAGGGACAGGGAGGGCCACGTGCTCCTTCCTGGGGTCATTCTCCCCCCATCCCACGGCTCTCCACGTCACCCAGTGTCCCAGAGGGTGACAGAAGCTAAGGAAGAGCACGATGTGCATCATCCGGGTCACACAAACACCGCACCTGGTTGCACTTCCATTCGTGACCACAGCAAATAGCAGACAGGCCCTCCCGTCTTGGTTAGGTTTACTCTGGGATGATTTTTACACGTTCTTCCGAGTGTCTAGCGCCCTTTGCCGGCTCCTTACCTACGTTCGATGGCCTCATGGATTCGTCTACATAGGCTTTGGTTTCCGCAGGGTCTGAGCCCATCTGGAACCCTACCTGTACGGGTCACACTCACTCCTCCACCCACAGTTCCTGGGCTCAAGAGTGTGCCGTAGAGTTGGGGGTCAGCTCCATTCCGAAGGTCACCACGAAGGCCGGGCTGGGCCCCGCGGGCTGCGCCCCTCGGGCTGGGCCTGGGTGGCCTCGGGGGCCCCCTGGGAAAGTCTGTCCGTGTTTGTTTTCACCCCCGTCCTGGGTGTCTGAAGAGGAAAACTACGAGAGTGCAGTGTCAGGAAACTTGCCCGACACATCTACCTAGACAGACACGAAAACCACGTTTCCATCAAGTCTTTCTTTTGCTCTCATACTTACTGCAGTTATGTTTACTGACTGAAATCCCCAGAAACGCCATCCGGGTTCTTTCCTCCCCGGGCCAGACAGGAGAGTGTCAGGGCGCAGGCGCGAGCCAGACCGGAAACTGGGGTGGGCGTGAGGGAAAAGGAACTGCAGAGCCAGGGATTGGTGGGAGAGCCTGGCAGTCAGCCTAGTAGAGGAAGTCCCGCCCGTTGCAGGCTCGACTTCCGCCCCGAACGGTTTGGGGCTTTGGCTGAGCGCTGGGCCGCGGCGCGCCGCCATGGTGCTGTTGGAGAGCGAGCAGGTAGGCCAGACGCGACGGGCGCCGCGCTCCGCTGGACACCTGCCTGCTTTGGCGGGAGGGACAGGGGCCGGCTCTGAAGCGTCTTCACGGGGCCGGGCCTATTGTGTTTCAGTTCCTGACGGAGCTGACCAGGCTGTTCCAGAAGTGCCGCCCGCTGGGCAGCGTGTTCATCACCTTGAAGAAGTGTGAGCTGCGGGCCGGCCGGGAGGGCTGGGGCCGGGCGGGGCGCGCGAGGGGCGGGGCCTGGACGACGGGGCGGGGCCTGCAGGTGGGCGGGGCAAGTAGCCACGCCCCCATGCTCACGCCCCTGGTTCGGCCGGCCGGGGCGCGAGCCCCAGGGGCGGGGCCTGCAGGTGGGCGGGGCAAGTAGCCACGCCCCCATGCTCACGCCCCTGGTTCGGCCGGCCGGGGCGCGAGCCCCAGGGGCGGGGCCTGCAGGTGGGCGGGGCCAGTAGCCACGCCCCCATGCTCACGCCCCTGGTTCGGCCGGCCGGGGCGCGAGCCCCAGGGGCGGGGCCTGCAGGTGGGCGGGGCCAGTCGCCACGCCCCATGCTCACGCCCCTGGTACCCCCGCCCGGCCGTCCGTGCACCTTCCGGCCCGGGGGTCCTGGGAACGCTGCGGTCCCGCGTGTCGTGTAGTCGCCGAGCTCGGCCCCGGTTACTGAGGGCCACTGCCAAGGCTGGTCATCTTTTGTAAGGGAGCACAGTTGCCACCGTCGGATTTGTTAATGGTGTCAGCCCTCGGGCTTGAACTCAGGGCCCGGCCGGGGTCCCCGAGAGTTTTTGCTGAAACCTAGCGCTCTACCCACTTTGAGCCACAGCACCACTTCCGGTTCTCTGGTGGTTCATTGGAGATGAGTTTCGCCGACTTTACTGACCGGGGTGGCTCCGAACGGCGATGCTCAAGTCTCAGCCTCCTGAAGAGCTCATGTGTGAGGTTTACAATGCTTTGATGTGTTTCCATCGTTCTAGTAGCTTCTGCAAGGTTTGCCCGACCCTGACATAGTGGATGGTGTGGTTAACGGAACTAGGGCACTGTCACTGGGTTAGGTTACCCCAACTCCTTCCCTGAACCTCAATGAAGTGTTCTGCAACTTGAGCCCTGCCTCCGGCCTTTCTTTTTGTTTTAGTTTTTCAGCTAGGACTCAGCTGCGGTGGGATCCTCCTCAGATCAGAGGTTTGGTCCTGTTTTAACTTTGTAGTAGTGTTCACCATGTTGTCATCTTAATGCAGATGATGGCCGAACAAAACCCATTCCAAGGAAGGGTTCTGTGGAGGGTCTTGAGCCTGCAGAAAACAAGTGTCTGTTGAGAGCTACTGATGGGAAGAAGAAGATCAGCACTGTGGTGAGCCAAAATATTTTTATTTTTTTGAGATAGGGTCTGGTCGTGTAGCCCAAGCTAGGTTCAGATACTACAGGTATGCCTGACTGTGTAAGGAATTTCAGTAGCACTGAGAAACACAGCTTCTTTAGTGGTCTGCTTCTGCCTGACCCATCTTGGTGTAATTCTCATGTAGAAAAAGACACTACTTTGCTTATTCTCCAGGTAGAGGAACACGGAATAGAAAACGTCTTAAGAGCATTCTGACCTAAAGTTGGAAGGAAGCATTTTAAAGATGAGAATGTGTATTCATGGGGCCTTTTGAGATGGAGTGGAGTGTAGGGTAGCTCTATGCATAAGTAGGGTCACTTCTTACTCTCTTCTTCCCAGGTGAGCTCCAAAGAAGTGAATAAATTTCAGATGGTGAGTTCCTGGTGTTCCCCTGCCCCCTCCCAGGGCCAGTTCCAGCATTAATCATGAACTCGGACTTGGTATTTGGTTTGTTGCTCTCCTGTCATAAGTTTTACCAGTATTTTCTAAGTAAAATCACCAGGGTGAGTGTCAACACTGATAATAGTTTTAGTGAGGTTTTCTTGTCTTAGAGGTCAGATACACTGTACCTTTAGTACTCCTGAATAAGAAGTTGCTTGTCCCTTTCCTTTTTCTCTTTTTTGCTGGCTGTGGGGCCTGAACTCTGGGCCTGGGCACTGTCCTCAGCTCTTCAGCTCAAGGCTAGCACTTTACCACTTGAGCCACAGCATCACTTCTGGCTTTTTCTGCTTATATGGTGCTTTTTGCTGCTTATTTGGAATCAAATTCAGGGCCTCATGCATGCAAGGCAAGCATTCTACCACTCAGCCACCTTCCCAGCCCCCTTTCCTTTGTCTTAAAACCCTGCATCTCCCAGTGGGGCGGGGCGTGTTGCAGAGCTGCAGTAATGCAAGTTTCATGTGGATGTGGTTTCCACCCTGTGGCCCCTGGGTGCTGCCTGAGTCCACTGGAAAGAGGGTGGCTGTCCTGTCAGCTTGCCCTCTGCTCACTCTGCTTGTGCTCTGTCTTCCAGGCTTACTCAAACCTGCTCAGAGCTAACATGGATGGGCTGAAGAAGAGAGACAAGAAGAACAAGAATAAGAAGGCCAAAACAGCCCAGTGAAGGCCACCTGATTCCACCATTACCAGATAACTACAGAATTGCTATTTCTCCTTTTTTTCCCCCACAAAGTTAAGTTTCTCATTCCTCCACTGGCAGCTGTTGTCCTGGGAGAAAGGCTGGGATGTTTTTAGGTGGGAAGCCAGTGTATTTGGGATCTGCACTGCATGGGTGTGTATTCCTGTTAAATTTCTCTGTGAAGAGTAATGTATCATTAAACCTGTCTAGTACTGACTGTCTCTTATTCCTCTTACCACCCCATTTTAATAGTTCTGAGGATCACGGTTCAGAGCGAGCCTGGGCAGGAAAGTCTGTGAGACTCTTTATCTCCAATAAACCACTAGAAAACTGGAAGTGGCGCTGTGGCTCAAGTGGTAGAGCGCTCGCCTTGAGCTGAAGAGCTGAGGGACTGCCCAGGCCCAGAGTACAAGCCCCACAGCCGACAAAAAAAAAAAAAAAAAGAACTGACGGTTTCATGAAAAGTCATGTTATCTCATGGGAACCCTTACCTGCTCGTGCAAGTTCACCCTCACAGTTCCTTTAGCAAATGTAAATGAGTGTGCTTACCAGCACTAGGATAACCATGGTGTGAAGTTGTTAAACTGGAGATCCTGCTGGGTGTGGTAGTGGACACCTGTAATCCTGGTCCTCCACAGGCTGAGGCAGTAAGATCAAGAACTCGTGTTGGCTTGGGCTACTCGGTGAGACCTCGTTTCAAAAAAACCCAATAATAGCTGTTTTCTCCCCCAAGAAACAAAACAATACAGATCTCAAGGTTAATGATTTTTTTGTCCCTTTTTTTTTGTCCGTTGTGGGGCTTGAACTCTGGGCCTGGGCGCTGTCCCTCAGCTCTTCAGCTCAAGGTAAGTGCTACCACTTGAGCCACAGCACCATTTCCAGTTTTCTGGTTTATTGGAGATAAGAGTCTCAAGGACTTTCCTGCCTGGCTGGCTTTGAACCTCGATCCTCAGACCTCAGCCTCCTGAGTAGCTAGGATGACAGGTGTGAGCTACCGGCACCTGGCAGTTTTTGGTCTTTTTAACCAATTTGGAAAAAAAAAAAAATTAGTACTTTTGTGTGCTTTCACATGGGGTCCAAGGAAGAACAAGACTCTTCGTGTGTCTCAACTCTGTAAGATCTATAGTGTTAATACATTTCCAGTAGAAAAGCAGCAGTTATATAAAAGCATTTATTATATCCAAAAAGATAAATTTATAATATATTACATATGAAAAAATGACAAAAGCTCAACTTGGCAGGCCAGCCTCCTAGAATTCAAAGTTAATTTAAAATGACATTGAATGTACAACATTCCATTCAGTATTCTAGTGTGATTTCCCTGTCGATTTGAACTTTGTAATGACAGTTCTTTAAGGTTAAAATAAAATTCTGTAGTAGTCATCTCTGTAGCTATACAGGAACAGCACAGAAACCCTGCAAAAGAAAAGTAGATTATATAACAGACTGAGGTTTTGTAGGTGAAGCACAGTGTTAAGTATTTTTAGAATACAGAGCTTTGTTATAAAGGGATTGAAAGTGAGCCACTAAGTCTGACAAGCTGTGACGGTCATTTGTCTACAATGAAAGGTCCCTCCCGGGCCTCCTGGTCACCCTTTGAGTGGAACAGTAACACCAAAGGTTACATTTGATAACATGATGTAAAGCAAACATCTACAAGTGAGTGAAGTAGGTGATGACTGCTCAGGCTTGCTGTGTTGACACTGGTAAGACTGATGAGCTGGTTGCCAGCTATAGTGTAACAAGACAATGAGACACACTTCATTCTGAAGCTTTCCATAAACTGTTTTTTAAAGCACAGGAAAAGAACATAAAGGTCTTTGCTTTTGTGCTCAAGGCTAGTGTTAAGCCACTTGAACCACAGCTCCACTTTTTGCTTTTTGGAGGTTCATTAGAGATAAAGAGTGTCATGGAGCCGGGCGCCAGTAGCTCATGCCTGTAACCCTAGCTACTCAGGAGGCTGAGATCCGAGGATCACAGTTCAAAGCCAGCCTGGGCAAGAAAGTCCATGAGACTTATCTCCAATAAACCACTGGAAAACTGGAAGTAGCGCTGTAGCTCAAAGGTAGAGCTCTGGCCTTGAGCTGAAGAGGGCAGGGTCAGTGCCCAAGCCGAGTTTAAGCTCCAAGACCCACAAAAAATAAAAAAATTAAAAAGGGTCATGGACTTTCCTGCTCAGTCTGGCTTTGAACCGAGATCCTTAGATCTCAGCCTCCTGAGTAGCTAGGATTATGGGCATGATCCACCAGCACCTGGCTATTGTCTACACTTTTAAACAAAAGCTTTAATGGGCATAATAAAGTACTCTGCCCACAACTGCCCATCACCCTCCTGTCTTCCCACCCCACCCCAAACAGTCTTGCTTCATAGTCAGGTCTTTTTTTTGAGGGGGCAGGTGTCCAGATTCTGCACTTGGTGGCAACATATATCTGTTTTCTGTCTTTAGCCATGTGAAACCTGTAAGACTTAAAGAGATCACTTACTTTTTTTCAACTTTGATGTTATAGATTTCATCACAGACTAATTTGAGATATCTTTGCTTTGGCAGGCGAGATAGCAGCTGCTTCACAGTCATGTTAAATGCCTGTTCGTCTCCATCCCACTAGGACGAGACAGACAGAGAGTTAGCAACATGGCAGCTAGGTTCTTTATCTCATTGGAATGCTAATGCCGTTCTTCCCTTCGGATTGCCAGGCAGGTATGGGGAGTAGAACTGGCAGGGAATCTGCATCAATCTTTTTGCTGGTCCTGGTAGGTCCTTGAACTCTGGGCCTGGGCACTGTCCCTAAGCTCCTTTTACTTAAGGCTAGCACTCGACCACTAGAGCTATAGCACCAGGCTTTTTCTGTGATTAACTGGAGATAAGAGACTCACAGGCTTTTCTGCCCAGGCTGGCTTCATTCTCAGATCTCAGCTTTCTGAGTAGCTAGGATTATAAGTATGAGCCACCAATGCCTGGCTGAAAGTTCTTATTTAGGCTATTTGATGATAAAAGTATGTTCTTGTTATATAACACACACACATCCCATCAGTGTAGTTCTTACACACACACACACACACACACACATACACACCCTCATCAGTGTAGTTCTTATCTACAAGTGAATTTCCTTATCTGGGATGGTTTGAGACAGCATGGTGTTATCAGCTGTGAAACCTCAACAGGACAAAACACATTTCACGCTGAACTGCAGCCCTGAATTTAACCTCATGAAATGCTCTGTGCCTAAGTGGTAACTTCTTTTCAATTTTGAGAAGGATAATTCTAAGATTATAAGATAAAAATGTAGATCTTCTATTCTGCATAGGACTGAATCCTGGCGTAGTTACTTACTAGCTGGGTGACATGAATTTAGGACTATTTAATACATAAAAGGGCCAACATTATGAAATTCATGGTGCTGCCAGACAAGTAGTATCTGTTACAAAACTGAATACCATTTTCAACTTTCTTTTGGCAAATTAACAGCAAAGGACACAGTACAACATGGTTCACATCACCTACCTCCAGTGATAAGAACTGCAGGATTGTTTCTTTGGGCAGATCTACCTGTTAATACACAAGAAAAGCCCGTCACCTGCTGGAGGATTCAAAGCAGGCTTGCTGACATGAGATGCTGTCATTTGGATGGGGAGCTGCATGGCTGGCAGCGTGTGAAATGCTACTGTGCTACAACTTACACCACACAGCGATAACATCTCAGCATAGCTGGGCTAAGAAGCAGTGGGGGCCGTGGCCCACACCCATGCACTGCACCCCAAGGCTTTGATGCTGCTGCAGGTACTTGCCATAGGCTTAGAAAGGAACAATCTGAAATAGAAAAATGATCCCCCACCTCCCCCTGTTTCAGAGGAAGAAAGAAGAGAAGCAACACCAACAAAATCTTCCATCTCCCCCAGTTTTTATCCATTTAGATTTGTGTGTGATTCACATCAGGAACAACCCAGTCTGCTGACACAAAAAGCCCTGAGTGCCGAGGGCTGCACCAGGCAGTGTGGGACAGGGATAAAGAACGACTTACAGCCAAAATTTCAATTTCACTGCTCTTCTGATGTAAGTTGGCAAGGGTGGTCTGAAGTCGGGTTTGTACCTAGTAAGATGAAATGGAGAACATGTTAAACCAAGCTGTCTTCTGTTCCACAAAACCAGCACGGGACGACAAGGCCCAGAGAGGACTGCAAACAGTGTCTAGGGATGTGCTCTTCCTCTGCCTCAGAGAGAAGGGTGTCTGGCCTGTGATATCATGGAAAAAAAGATTCTGAGGCTATCTTGATCATCTACTAATCCTTCCTGCTGCCTATTCCTTATGTAGAAATGATGCCTGGCAAAGGCTCGGGGTGCAGCAGGGGGTGGGGGTGGGGCGGGCGGGGGCAGACAGTGAGCTAAAGTGTCAGGGAGGGAGTTTGAATCCCAGTCTCAGACCAAGGGGAAAAAAAAGCTCAGTACAGTCAACCTGTGCTATGGGAGCAGAGGGCTTTAGGGCTGAGATGTGAGCTAAGTTAGGAAAGAAGGGGGGAAAGTAACAGCTGGGGAGATAAAACCGAAGGGTGTCAGGCTGGGAAGGTGGTTCAGTGGTAGAGCGCTTGCCTTGCATGCCTGAGGCCCTGGGTTCGATTCCTCAGCACCACATAAGCAAAAAGAAAAAAAAAGCTGGAAGTGGTGCTATGGCTCAAGTGGTAGAGCGCTAGCCTTGAGCTGAAGAGCTGAGGGACAGCGCCCAGGTCCAGAGTTCAGGCCCCACGACCGGACCCCCCCAAAAAAAAAGAAAAAAGAAAAATATTTCCAAGAAATATTTTCCTTTCTATCTTGCTTTTATCTCTGTAGCTCACGCGTTAGAGCTAGGGAAGCCCCGGCCGGGGTACCTGGGTCTCGTACCGCCTCCTCGTGCTGGCTGACAGCTTCTCCGGGGCTACCACACTCACAATGGGCACGACTGGCGCTCCGTGAATTTCAAACAAACCTGAAAAAGAAAGTTCGGGGTTTACAGCCTTGTCTGTGCCCACCCGTTTCTGGAGCACACCAGAGAGAGACTGGTTTCTCAGCAGACATCTTGCCTTGGCTCTGAGGACTAGAGCACACTGGGCTTTGCTTTGTTCCTTTTTTCCTTATGTTTCTGAGATAGCTCGGTCTGGCCTCAAACTCCCAACCCTCCTGCCTCAGGCTCCTGCGTGCTGGGATTTCCGGTGAGCACTACCATACCCAGCTTAAAATACTTTTCAATTTTCTCTGCATGGGTGAAAGCTCTCCACATTCCATCTATTAGAATAAATGGAGTCAAAGGAAGAGTGTGCTACTTATATGAGCAAGGCAGTGAGCCCAGGTGGCCGCATCAGAGGAGCCACCCACCCCACACTTGGAGTGCTTTCTTGGGTGTGGATTCCTGTGCTTCATCCTCAGGGGGTGAGTTCCATGTGGTGCACTTTACAGTTTACAAGATACTTTGCAAAGATCACTTCCATGTCACAGGGAGCGACACACCATTCCCCAGTACTTCGGGTAAACGCAGCATGTGTTCATGTTGTAATTAGTCATTATACCTGAAGCGTTAGAAAATGACCCCTTCAGACTTTGCACTGCAAGATTATCGGAAGCTTCTCTAAAAACAAGCAAACAGAAACAATTAGAAACTGTGAATAAGGAAAAAGCAACAGGTAACCCCAAGTGATGGAGATTCCTGTGCCACTTTTTCTACTGAAAATGAAAACACATTCCTCTTGGTTACTAGTCGGAGAAAAACAAAAGAAACCACAACAAAAAAATGCACTGAGTTATGCTTTTGGTCAAGAGCAAGTAAAAAGCTGGTAAGAGTATAATTTCAGGTTAATGCCTACAGAAAACATTCTGATTTCTCAGGTAGGTCTGAAATTCCAGCTCCACACGGGAGGTCTGGAGCACACAGGAAAATGTACGGCACAGGGTATCTCAGAAATGGACAGTGCGCTTTCTAATGCTTTAGGAGACACAGTAGAACATTGAGGGGAAATTAGATAATCATGTGCATGGAGAAAAGGTCAATGTCTCCCTAGAAGAAGTAAATTCCACCTTGCCCTCTACCTGTCTTCCTTTTTTTTTTTTTGTCAGTTGTGGGGCTTGAACTCAGGGCGTGGGTGCTGTCCTTGAGCTTCTTTACTCAAGGCTAGCACTAACACTTTGAGCCACCAGTGCCACTTTTGCTTTTCTGGTGGTTCATTGGAGATAAGAGTCTCACAGACTTGCCTTCCCCAAACTGGCTTTGAACCACGATCCTCAGATCTAAGCCTCCTGAGTAGCTGGGATTACGGGCGTGAGCCACCAGCGCCCGGCTTGGGGCCCTGCTTTAGTTTTTATTTTTAGTGCCTTTCCTCCCTTTGGTAAATTTGTGTTCAGGTGGCCGAACATTTTCTTTCACCCCATGAGAAAGCGCAGACACAAAATGCCACCCAGATTCAGCCATGAACAGACGGAAAAAGCAACAGCATGCATGCTGTGGCTCCTCTCTTGGAAGCATTACCGTGCTCGGCTGCCTCTAAAGGTTCGCTGACAGAAGCTTGGCTCCCCAAGTTGCAAGGGGAGACGTTAGGAGTGTGAGGAAATAATAGGTTATAGAGGCTTCCAGGACCCAGCCTTGGGTTCTTTGTTTGTTTTTTTTGTCGGCCGTGGGGCTTGAACTCTGGGCCTGGGCGCTGTCCCTCAGCTCTTCAGCTCAAGACGAGCGCTCTACC